ACACCTCCCATCTAAAAAAAATTACATAGCGGTTTAAGAAAACACCTCCGTCTTCGGATAGAAGGCGAAACGTTTCATCACAAAAAAAAAAGAAACTGTCCAGGTGACCTGACTGAAAAATGCTGGATTGTATACCTGGATTACTGAGCATGGACTTTGTTGTTTTCAACCACTTTGACACAACTGTCAACAAGGAAGAGGGCCGGCAATGGAGGAGGGGGCGTGACAAAGAGACCATCTTGGCACCAACATAACTGGTTTGTTCCACTTTGGAATAAGCTGTTGGGGAAGAATCAGTTTTGTGTTGTGTGTTTCCTTGACTGATGAAGCCTTCTGGATCGAAGGCGAAACGTTTCAGCACCAAAAAAAAAAAAAACTGTCCAGATGACCTGACTGAAAAATGTTGGTCTGTCTTCTCACATTTATCTGTGGTCAGATAACAGAGGCAACAGGTCCAGAAGAAAAACCCAGACCTCTCTTTCCCCAGTGATACTTTTCAGCTCCTCTTGGGGGACTCGGCATCCCAGGCCAGAAGATACACAGTCCCTCCAATGAGTCCGGGTCATCTCCGGGGCCTCCATCCAGGGATATGCCTGGAAAACCTCTAGAGAGAGGCATACAGGAGGCATCCTGATCAGATGCCCACACCACCTCAGCTGACTCATTTCAATGTAGAGCAGCTGCCGCTCTACTCGGAGCTCCCCCTGGATGATGGAGCTCCTCACCTTATCTCTAAGGCTGAGCCCAGCCACCCGGCCACCCTGCAACGAAAGCTTATTTCAGCCACTTGGATCCAGGATCTGGTTTAGCAGTCATGATCCAAAGCTCATGAACACTAGTGAGTGCTAGAACATACATGGACCAGAAATCCAGAGCTTTGCTGTTTGACTCAGCTTTTTCTTCACCACGACTGAACCAAGCAATGCCCTCATTACTGAGGATGAAGCCCCGGTCCATCAGTCCATCTCCTGCTCCATCCAACCAGCAACCAGGAAAAAGACACCTCCCCACACCCACCACCTTGAGGGGGCATCCCGCCTGTTTCCAGGAAGCATTATTTTGTAAACCTTACTATCATCTTGTCTGTATTACACCAGACCTGGGCATGTTCTGGAAGCCAGATGTGATCCAGCTGTCTTCTTTCAGTGGTGTGAGATCAATGGAGAACCAGACAATTGAAAAATCGTAACTCGTATGCAAATCCAAAAACTCTGCTTTGATTTTAAAACTAGTTCCCAGTGGTGGAAATAACAAATTACAAACACTCACATTACTGTAATTAAGTAGATTTTTTGGGGGTACTTGTACTTTTATGAGTATTTATTTCAAGTGTGCAATTTTACTCATTCTTAAGTACAGTTTAGAGCATGTAATCTACTTCGTTACTTTTAATATCAGAAGTCGCTACTGAGTACAGATGCAATTTGAATTAATATTCAAACCGTTCATGTTTGTGGCCAACAAGACTCTCAGATCGCAAACGCACCAATTAACTTTGACGTAAGCAAAAGACAACTCCGTCATTTATGGACCGAAGATTTGAAGAAAAAGCCGAAATGGAGACAGAGGACAACACTATGAGAAAATGACGAGGTAAAGGCTGAGGACGAGTGCCCGTGGCCGTACCTGGAGGAAGTTTTCATGTACAGATGGTGAAGAGGAGACAGAGTCCAGATGCAAACTTTGTTTGATCTTTACGGTGACAGCAGCTACAAGACTTCAGCATCTAATCTCAAAACACATATTGCGGTATAAGAGGTTTTACAGCTACCTGTATGATTTTTTAAAATTGTTTGTATGTGTGGACAACAGCAACATGAGCATGAGTTTGTACAAACATCTGCTCATACAAACTCATGTTCGTGCTGCTGTTGCTTTGGCGCATTATTTTTGTACTATTACTGCTTAGTGTATTCTTAGTTCATGACTCTCAGATCTTAGTGTTTTTCTTTACAATTTGTATTTTTGTTGGATGTAACTGGGACTCTGCATATATAGTTTCGTCCCACCTTATGTATCACGTGTGATGAGTATGGCAAATAAACCTCTCGGACTCTGACTCAGTTGTTAGTTTGGCTAAGTTTGCAAAGATGTTAGATGATGTCACTGCCATCAGTTTGCCTGGTACTAAAATAACCTCCTCAGGACTTTGTTGTGCTGGTTTAAATCCGTGATTACAGAAATAAATGCATGACTTTAACAGTTTTTTTTTTTTACATGTAAAAATTACATTTCTACATGTGAGCAGTTGAACAAATGTTTGTAAACTCATTTTAACGTGTTTCACATCGATTGAACACGTTTTAATAAGTTCATGGGATTTCTGCTCAATAGCTGCATGTGCAAATCACATGTTTCGCATGTAAAACCATGTGATTTCCACATGTGACATTCATTGGTTCTTCAATGAAGAGGAAAAAAAATTGCTGATTTAAAAATAAAACTTTAAATGCTGCAGAAACATGGATTTTTTTCACATTTATTTTAGTTATTGTTTATTATTTGCATTAAACTTTTCTTCTTTCGGCTGCTCCTTTCTTCAGGAGTCGCCACAGCGAGCTAAGTCGCACGAAGACTTGGCAACTGTTTTTACACCGCATGCCTTTCCTGACTCAACCACAGACCACCGAGCTACCACAGCCCTCTGTGTGGAGCAGAGAGCTGCCATCTAGGGCACCGAGGGAAGCAGATGGTGGGGGTTGAGGGCCTTGCTCAAGGGCCCAGTTTGTGGCAAACGAGGGTGGAGGCAGATATGGGTGCTTCACATATCCCACACATTTTGATGTTATCACTCTGGGGGTCAAACCGGTGACCTTCCAATCACAGGCCCATCTTCTCTAACCTCTGCGCCACCACTCCCCCTTGCATTAAACGCAAAGATAAAGTTCAAATTCTCAACGCAACAAGTTCCTTCAGTTGTCCTGTGGGAAAGTTAATGTCCCACCCCTAGATTTCATGGTTATACTGGCAGACAGACTATGGTGTTAAAAAAAATAACCCATTGTCCTTGGCCTTGTTTAGATTAACTATTCGCTGAATAATCTGATCAAAATTAACTATAATATCTTCATCTGAGGTTGTTCAAAAAGTTATCTACAACAGGTAAGATATTGAGTGTTCATAACCTTTCCACAGAACTCCACTTGCAAAGATGTGAAGTCTCCCATTAAGGCCTGAGCACACTGGATTCAGGTCCGAGCTGCTGGTCCTGATGTGCGACTTTATATAGAATAATGCATTTTTAACGTGTTTGGCTCTTTTCTCCCTCAAAGTCGAGTAAAGAAACTGGAGCAGTGACTGGTTTAGTTCAGGTGTTCGGTCCAAACGATTATTATTTTTTTAATTAACTAAGCTTGCAGCCATACTCCGTATTTGCAAACTGACCTTTTTTCTCTTCCACTCTGTTGCTTCTCTCAACAAGAATACAACGAGGAAAGAAAAAAAGAAACCCAGCATGATGTCATTTTGTCTTAAAGCGAGCAACAGTCACTGCATATCTATCGACCTCACAACATCCAATTAAAGTTTAACATCAACTTCTGGAAAATCAAAAGGCAGATAGGCCTGCACTCAGGGCAGCAGCGCTCACATGCTTCCAGTGCCTTTCTGTCTCTCTGCGTACAGAGTTAAGTCTTCATGGTAATAACCCATTCGGTTTACACCTGCTGGCACCTGCTCCTTTGTGGAAACGTTTCCATCTCAGCTAAGACATTGCATATAAAGGCTTTTAAAAGATGAACGTAAAACCACAATGAATCCACATAACGCACAGCTCGGCTTCATCCCCCCTTCATCAGATCAGACTAGTTTATCCTCCCTCTCCGAAAAACTTCTCCTTACCTCCATCCCTGCAGCTCCCTAATTTCACAGGAAAATGAGCCATAAGAGGAAAAACCATTACCATCAGCAGAAGATATTTCAGGCAGAGAGAATGGCTAAATGTGCTGCTCAATGATCATAGCAGCCAGCAGGCGTTAACGGCCTCGTGTGTCCATCCCTATCACTTTAATTTGCTCTCAAAATATCTAAAGTACATGTTGGGGAAGGAGCACTGAAAACAGATCTCCTAAGGATAAAAAGTGAGAGGGTATGACAGCAGCAAATTGGCTTTTTTACTCCTGCGAGCCTCGCTCCAGACTTGCGCGAGCAATTTGAATTGTGCTGTAATTGCTTATGTTGCTTCTGTCTCCGTGCCGTTTTAATAATGGAATTTGATCTCATTACTTTTGGCTGTGGTTTGAATTCTCAGTCACTTGGTGTGATGGGAATAATGCTAAAAGGTGTGATTTGTGGGGGGAGGGGGGGGGGGGGGGAGAATACATAAATAACAGAATACGAGAAAGCAAAGAGAATCTGCTTTTTGGTGCACAAAGTGAGGAGAACGTGACGGAACTCATTCCAGGTTCAAATGAAGCAACTTGAAAGAGTTTCCTTTTGATTTTCTTTGCAAAGCAGTTTAGCTTACGCTCTTATCATCTTCTTATAAAAGGAGATTACTTGCTCAGCTGAAAGCACGAGAAAGAGAAGGGAAAGCGGCAGCAGAGGAACGGATGTGGCACGAGTCAAGAAGCAGAAATCAGAAATGGTGCCCGAGCTCCGGGTTTAGCTTTTGAGTGCATGTACGGTGAACGTGGCCTTGGGTGATGTGCTTCTTGTTAAAAGCACTGCTCTATATGGAACGTTTCTCCCAGACTGACTCTTTTTTTCATGTCTGCTCATGTTGTTCCCTTCCTTTTTAAGGACGATCACTCGAGCAAAAAAAAAAAATCATGTTGCATCTTGGAAATCTTGAGAAGGCTCCAGAGGAAAAAACTAAATAATAAAAGCAAGTTGGGGTATTAAAAAAAAAAAAGAAGCGTTATAAGAGATGAAAGTCAAACATTATAGGAGCATGTACACTTCTTCTGCGTAGCTGTCCTCTGTGGTTCTCTTGCGAGTGCTGAAATGGATTCGACAGCGGTAGCGATTAGAAAATGTAAGCTGACAATAAGATCGGAGCCTCAGCGGTTCCAGCACTCCCGGCCCAGGATGAGAGTTGGCAGCAGCAGTAATGGCAATGTGAGCGCTGCTTGGCTAGCTTTTCCCCGCTGACTTCCTCTGGCACCCGATTCAGTGTTGGAGTCCTTGGAGTCCTTCTCAGAATATGGGGGGATGAGGTTGAATTCCTCGCTCGCGTCCTCTTCTTGCTCCTCTTCCTCGCTGTCCTCCATCTGTAAGAAGACAGAAAGAGAGATTCCACCGATTAATAACAGCAGCGACACATGATGTGGGAGCAGCATCTTTAACCCATAAAAACACCCCGAAGCTACTGTCCACACTGCTTCTGAAACGTGTGTTTCTGGTCAAGCTGAATCAGTTCTGATACGTTTTGGCAAACCGCTTTGATTGATGTTCAAGCGTTGCTTCCTCTAAAAATGCCACCATCTGAATTTTCTGTGCAAAAATACAGTATCTTCCCTGTTATCACCAAAGAAGACGCCACAGTGCTGACTTTTGGTCAGATTATTTTATTTTGTTTGCACACTTTAATTTATGACCGTTTTGACTCCGGCGTACATGCTGCCACCTCTTTTCCCCTTCAGATTTATCTCCTGCCTCTTTAAGACTTCTTTCTTAAAAAGTTGTGCCATCTTTAATTGGTCCCCCGATTCTTTAGTTGTAATGATGTGGAAGGCAGAAGGTTCATCTGACTTGATGAAACTCTGTGCTATAGCTTGATTAGATGCACAATGATATTAAAGTAATGAATCATAGTTATCATCAGCTCTTTTTATCCCCCCTGGAGCATGAATCACTGCTGAGTACTCTCCATCCATCCTGGTCCAGCGCCCCTCTCTCCAGCTGTCTCCAAGTGTAGTTCAGCCTCGTGATGTCTTCCTCCAGGTCCTGCCACCAGCTGTTTCATGGCCGTCCTCTCTTCCTCTTTCCCTTGGGATCCCAGGTCAGGGCTTACCCACTGATGCTTCTGTTAGATTTGTGTAAAGTGTAGCTGAGCCATCTTCAGCATCTCTGGAAGATCCTGTCTTCCACAGGAAGCCGGTTTGTGCATTTGCAACACACCATTTTTCATGATCTTGATCAGCCAACATGTAGCATCATTCCCCATCTTTTAAAAGTAGATGATGGGATAGAGAACAAAGGGATGGCCAGTTGAGTACAGATTTCAATGAGTGGCAAAATGGTATAAAGTGCAGCAGATGTCATCCAGTTCATGAAGAATATTTTGGAGGCAGTCTTGTATATTATATTACCATAATCTAAAATGGGGAGAATTGTCTTTTTAACTATAACATGCTTTACTGAATGAGTGAAGGATGGTTGTAGCTCTTGTCTTTCCAATATGAACCTTAACGTCTACATCTGTGCTGCCCAGCTCATCTCCAAGTGGTTCTTAAACCTTCAAGGCTGCTTGGTTCACTTTATTTCCATGTTGACCTCAAAGCGTATCTCACTTAGATACGGTGACTGATGGAGGCTGGTTATGGACTGAAGACTGCGGGTAAATAACAAGAAAGTTTGATTTTATCTGAACTCTGTCTGATCAAAAATGACCAGAGAACCATGCGTCTGTATTTTGAATGGACAGTTTTTTTTTAATTACAGCCTGTGTTCATGTGCCCGGCTTGTATAACTGCAGTCTTGACCATGCACTTGTTGTCCTATTTTGCCCATATCACCTCAGATCACTTTGTAGCCACCTTGGCAGCCACCCTCACATTTATGATTTAATGGTATACATTTGAAAAGTAGATAGGTAGATTTAGACCAGTTTTTTAACAACTATTACTTAGTATCAATGTGGTTTCTACACCTGGAAGAAGGAGAGGTCCCATACAGGTGACCTTGGGACAGGTTGGAGTGTCACTCAAAGAAACTAAGAATCACTGTGAACACTGAGACATGGAGACTCTCGGACTAGTTGCAGCCTATACCTTTAGTCTTTTGTGGTCATTGAGTCCAGCTTGTGCTGAGAGCGATGCCACAAAGTCCAGTCCCATTTATTTGTGTTTGTTGATGGAGGAAGGAAAAGAGTGCCAGGTCATTGAGTTGAGTCCAGGGTATCTGTTCTCCATTCTGTTTCTGGGCTGTGGACATTGTTGAGGTCCAATCAACCACCAGCAGGAACAGGACTTTATGTAAGGGTAGAAATCTCGTGTCAGGTTTCCAATGTCACCATGTCACATGACATTAAACAAAGGCAGCTGCAGACAGGGCAGGTCAGATACTGGTAACTCAGCCAAACTCCTCGGGCTGGAAGCTGCTTTTAATCCAAGTCAGTGCCGGCTTTAATGATACCTGAAATGTAAAGTCTGTTTATGTTCTCAGAACCTCAAAACCATTGTCTTTACAACAGAGTATGATGCATTCAATATACATTTCCACACATTATGTGCTGGACACTCACGGAGGAGAACTTTAAAATGCATTGAGTTAGGAGTTATTGGATTCACAATGGAAAAGAAGTAATGTCTTTGTGGAATATGTTGCATTAAATGACTCTCTTTTCCCCTTTCAGCAATGTTGGTTCACAGTCTTTTTATGAAAGAAATAAAAATGAAAGTTTTTGTAAAGGAGTCCCTATAGTGACACTCCTCTGAGATATACACTATACACACACCCAGGGTGTGTATATGTATATATATATATATATATATATATATATATATATATATATATATACCCAGCACACACTTTTTGCCCCACTCCTCTCAGGCAGGAGGTTGCGGAGCAATATGTGTAGAACCACTAGACTGAGGAACAGCTTCTACCCTGAGGTTGTTAGACTCATGAATCTATAACCAGGATAATCACTGTAAGAAAAAAGAAAAATCACTGTAATGCCACTTTACTTGGTGAAATGTGACTTATCTGTGCTGCTGATTATCCATACTGCTGATCTCCTGCTGCTGCTGATCTCATGCTGCTGTATCCATTCATGGTACCCATCTGCTCACCACAGACTCATGTTTGGGCTGCTGTTGTTGCGCCATATTGTTTTAAATAATTTTAGTGTTAGCGTATATGTTAGATCTTTTAGCGTACTGTTTGGCATTTGTTTTAACGTATATCTTAGATCCTTATCTACCGTTTCTTTTTATACTTTATATTTTGCTATTTTTGGGTGTAACTGGGACTCTGTGTATGTAATTTCATTCCACCTCATGTACCACATGAGACAATAAGAATAACATAACAATGACAATTAAGTTTACTTAAACTTGAACTTGGTATACCTTATAAATAAAATCATGTTTTTAATTATTATTTTTTTTAACTTTTGAATATTGAAATAAAAAAACAACATTGATGAAAACAGAACGGATGCTGAAGGGCACAGACGTTTTACTTTTTGTTTATATGTGGATTTGTTTGCACTTTAAAATCGCAAAAGCCCGAAGGACATATTTCGTGATGTTTAGTGAAGAGGTACATTCAGTTCCTGATAAATTTATGTTAAAAAAGGGGACATGGACCTTGTTGCTTCAGGGTGTGTTATCTCAGAGCCACTCAAAGTATTTTCCTTATTAGTGGTTTTAGACGATCTTAAATACAGTGGTTCCTTCACTCCAACGCTGAGGACACAGACTTGCTTTTTTTAATCACAAACCTTTGGTTGAGTTTAGTTTTTTTATCTCTAATTTCACATGACCTTTAACTACACTCATAACAAAGAGCATTTTCCTTATGTTGCACAGCAAAACCAGTCTTCCCCAGAATAAATCAGCACTTTTATTAATTGAGTTTTTTCAATTACAGTTTTGAAAACTGTGCGGGTGCGGTTTAGTATTTTACTGCAGGAAATCTACCCTTTATTTCTTTCACTAGACATGATTTTCTGGATTTATATAAATGAAAGTGAATGTAACAAACTCGAGCACAGAAAGCGTGATTCTGGGTGTCCAGAGATAAGGACAACAAGAAGAGGATTTTCAGAATATATGAGGATTACAATGGTAAATACGGGGCAGATAAGTGTGCTGGCATGAATATTAAGAGTAAAGATTGAGTTTTATTCTTCAAACACCTGCGGTTAATCTGGAACCACGCTGAGAGGTGGAGATAGGAGCAAGAAGGAAACAGGAACAAACTGAGATTATACAGGAAGCGGGGGTCCAACCCACAGCTGTAGTGATACAGAGGCGTTAAGACCCGATGTACAGCCGACGAGAGGAGGAGAGAGTACGTACGCTGCTGAAATCAGGGAGGGTGTGAACGCTAACTGGGACTCTCTCCTGGTAAACTGGTGGGGAGGGCTGAGAAACTGGCACAGGAGTGAGATCCACTGGAGGAGGAGCAGAGATTCCCATGGAGCTGATGGCGTTGCCTGAAACAGAACCAGCAGGGGACACCTTCATTAGTCTCACATCTTTATTCCTCCCGGGATCGTCACTAAAACATTAACGGTGTGTTTTCCATCGCTGGTGCCGCTCACTCTGTGGATATCATATATAATTGATAATAAAAAATCTATTTTTTAACAATAGCTTTAAAGCTTGTGCCTCTGAAGGTGCAGTTCTGATCTTTTGATGTGGGGTTCTGCGGACGGGTTATGAGCAAATAATATCTAAACTGTTGCACATAGCTCTTTGGACAACCTCACTTTGGAGAAATGGATTTGAACTATCCCTTTAAGCTTCATTGCCAACTTGGGTTCATTTAAAATGTCCACAGCAATGGGACATATAAAACCATTTTACAGTGTCTAATTTGAATAAATGGATTATGAAATTTAATTAGTACAGGAATAAATGAAAATATGATAGAAGATTAACACATACACCTTTTTTCTTTTCATTTTTGGCTGCCGAATCCTTCAAGGATTATCACAGTGAGCAAACTCGAACAACTGTTTTACGCCAGATGTCCTTCCTGACACAACCACGACCACCGAGCTGCCACAGCCCTCTGTGTGGAGCAGAGCGATGCCATCTCAGGTGCCCAGAGTGGGTCAAACGAAGGCAGGTGTGGGTGCTTCAACTTTTACACCCACATTTCTGATGTTGTGGTGAGCACGGGAATTCAAATCATTGACCTTCCAATCATAACCTCTGCACCACCAGTCCACAAGAATATTAACACTTACACCAGTAAAAATGAGTATTAGTGGTCAGTAGTAGTTGGCGACCTCCCATGGCTCTCCATATTGTGATTTTACTTGTATTTCTTCCTATTCAAATATTTATAAATCCGACTTTAAGCTCACAGAACATCAGAGGGCTGCCATGGGGGGAGAAAAAGTCAGTTTATCACAGATTTACTGTAACTAAACTTTAAGTTGTAATAAAATATGAAAAAAAAAAGTTCCTTGAAGCTGTCAGGCAAGTTGAGCCATTACAGAACGTTAACGCTAAACCACTATCGCATGTCGTAATTAGTTTAACTTACATGTTCATTATTACTTTTAAAGATACTCACTGCAAAGTCATGGACTAGATAAAAAATACTTCAAAAAGTAAGAAACAAAATCTGCTCAATATTTAGTTATGTATCTCTGGTTAATGTTCTCTTAAATTAAGAAAATTTGTGACCAGACGAAGATTATCGCATACTTTCATTTATCTATGGAAACAGCTGAAGTGACTGAAAACAGGTCCAATAATACATTTATTCTTCATATTTGTTTACATACACAGACTAAGTACACCGAGCAAAAATATAAACACTACACTTTTGTTTTTGCTCCCATTTTTCATGAGCTGAACTCAAATACCTAAGACTTTTTCTATGAACACTGAAGGCCTTTTCCTCTCAAATATTGTTCACAGATTACTGTAAATCTGTGTTAGTGAGCACTTCTCCTTTGCCGAGATAATCCATCCACCTCACAGGTGTGGCACATCAAGATGCTGATTAGACCGCATGATTATTGCACAGGTGAGCCTTAGGCTGACCACAATAAAAGGCCACTCTAAAATGTGCAGTTTATCACAGCACAATGCCACAGACATTACGAGTTTTGAAAGAGTGTGCAGTTGTCATCAATCAATCAATCAATCAACTTTATTTCTTTAGCACATTTTAAAAACCACAAGGGTAGCCAAAGTGCTGTACAATAAGACAAAACCATAAATTAATTAAGACAATAAAAACATGCAAAGCATACACGAAGAAACATAAAAACAGACACATACCAGTTTCATGGCAGGTGTGTTAAGATGCCATAAAAGATAAGATCACGTGTTAAAAGCCAAAGAATAAAAGTGTGTTTTTAAAAGAGATTTAAAAACAGGAAGAGAGGAGGCCTGTCTGACACTCGAGGGTAAGTTGTTCCACAACCTGGGAGCAGGAACGTGCACCGGAGCTGTTGAACTGAATGTTCATTTCTCTACCGTAAGTCGTCTCCAAAGGCGTTTCAGTGAATTTGGCAGTACAACCATCTGGCCTCACAACTCCACATGTAACCAGTCCAGGATCTCCACATCCAGCATCTTCACCTCCAAGATCATCTGAGACCAGTCACCCAGACAGCTGCTGCAACTATCAGTTTGCACAACCAAAGAAGTTCTGCTCAAACTGTCAGAAACCGACCCAGTGACGCTCATGTGCATGCTCGTCGGTCTCACTGGGGTCTCCACCTGACTGCAGTTTGTAGTTGTAACTGACCTGAGTGGACAAGTGCTCACATCTGATGGTGTATGGCACGTTGGAGACGTGTTCTCTTCATGGATGATTCCCGGTTTTCACCGTACAGGGAAGATGACGGTGTGTGGGTGAGTGGTTTACTGATGTCAACGTCGTGACTCAACTGGCCCATGGTGGCGGTGAGGTTCTGGTGTGGGCAGGTGTATGTTATGGACAACAAACACAGGTACATTTCGTTGATGTCATTTTGAATGCGCAGAGATACCGTGACGAGATCCTGAGGTCGATTGTTGTGTCATTTATCCACAACCATCCTCTCATGTTGCTGCATGATAACACACAGCCCCATGTAGCAAGGATCTGTGCACAAATCCTGGAAGCTGAAAACATCCCAGTTCCTGCATGGCCAGCATACTCACTGGACATAACACCCATTGAGTTTAGGAGGCTCTGGATCGTCCATTGAAGAGGAGTGGACCAAGGATCCACAGGCCACAATCAACAACCTGATCAACTTTATGCAAAGGAGACGTATTGCACTACATGGCGGTCACACCAGACACTAACTGGTTTTATGACCCCCTCAGTACTGTAAAACTGCACATTTTAGAGTGGCCTTTTATTGTGGTCAGCCTAAGGCACACCTGTGCAATAATCATGCTGCCTAATCAGCATCTTGATGTGCCACACCTGTGAGGTGGATGGATTATCTCTGCAAAGGAGAAGTGCTCACTAACACAGATTTGCACTAATCTGTGAACAATATTTTGAGAGAAAAAGAACTTTTGTGTTCATAGAAAAAGTCTTAGATCTTTGAGTTCACCTCATGAAAAATGGGAGCAAAAAAAACAAAAAAACAAGTGTTAGTTGATATTTTTGTTCGGTGTAGATCAGTCGTGAGACTCAGCCGAGTGCTTTGTTTACACGGAGTGCATACCTGCATTTCAGAACTGCAATCAATAAATGTGGAAAGCCACTGGAGTAGGCTCTATCAATTAATTAACGTTTAATAAAGTTCAGAAGAACTTTTTAACTGTTTAATTTTATACTTCGCAACGAGCACTTTTAACTGCATGTGCAATGCTTTATTTGTTCGTTTGGTTTATATTTACACCAAATTATGCTCAGCAGTTTTAAATTTTTTTATATTTCTTTTAACTTTTTTCCCCCAGAGAGATTGACCTAACTAGATGCACAACTAAGTGTTGAGTCATGTATGAATGAGCTGTTTTATGACAAACATTATGAGCTGCAGTTCGAACGTGTCGGAAACACAACATTACCTGAAGAACTGTTTATACACGATTTTACTGCAATAGAACAACAATAATTAGGAACGTAAAGGTTTTATGTATTGCAATATGTCATGAGTACTCTATAGATTTTTACTTTAAAGGAGGAAGAGATTAAGTTTCTGAGTTTAAACCAACAACTTTTCGTTGAAGCGCCTGCTCCTATAATCTCCTCGATATCTCCCAGTCCTCCATTATTCCCAGAAGCCCAGTGTGCTTTGGCAGGCTAAAACAGTCCAGCTCTGCTCCCATTGTCCTTCTTTATCTTCTGTTTGCATTGGTGCACAATCACAACTAATCTCAGCCTCAACATTATTTCTGGAGGACAATGTTGGTTAGAAAAAACAGAGCGAGCTGCGTAGAGAGAAAAAAAAACTCACTTAAAGCTTGATTGTTAATGAGGCCACACTCAATTTGGACTCTTAATTCTAATTAAAACAACCTGTTTTAGTGTCTCTTGTTTCCCAGCTCTGACTAAACAATGAATACACTCCCAACAAATGAGCTACTTCTCAAGCAGTAAATATGGAGCAGGAGCACGAGATGTTCTTCAGCTCTGTTTGGTTTGGCAGAAACGCAACAAGAAGCCACGTTGAGTTTATCAGATTTGGTGAGAGACTCTGGAAAGGCTCAAAATCACATTCCCATTTGGCAGGTAGCTAGACCCCAGGGACAACATTTCTTTCAATTCATTTATTTATAAGAAAACAATATGGTTCAGCGATTCACCCTCTAAATCATCAATTATGGCCCACCTCGTTTCACATCTGTAATACGGCGCATCATAAAATTCTCTGTTTCATCATCAGCTCAGCATTAATCTAGCTAATGCTCCCATTTGACAATTAGAAGAGAACAGTTCCTTTGTTATTATGCCGACAGAGGAGGGATTGTTCACTGCAGGTCCCTTGTAAGAAGCCTTAAGATGAATCACTCAAATTGTAAGTAATAATTCATGTTTTTACCCAAAACTCCCACTTCAAGCAATAATTCAAACCTTTTGGAGCGTGATCTGTGGAAATGTTGTAGATCTTATTACGAATACAGTAGTCCCTCTCTACTTGGCGGTTCGTGTTTCGCGGACTCGCTGTATCGCGTTTTCTCAAAATAAAATTGGACATGACACACAATTGGCTGATTGATGGATGAGATGCACGATCGGCATGGAGATTATATTTAAAATTAATTATTTAAAATTATTTAGCACCTGTTGCACCTGTGTGCAGCCCACAGCTGCAGGAGAAGCTTCCTCATGCAGCTGTGTCATATCTACGCTCTGCAGCGGAGAAGTGGGCGTGGCCGAGAGCACAGGCAGATGGCAGAGAGCTGAAATCATGACATTCTGTGCTCTTTAAGAGCGTTTAGAGTTTAGAAACATTGTTTAGAATATTGCATATATGTATATATGTATATATATATATATATATATATATATATACACACATATATATATACATACACTGTATAAATACTCAAATAAACTACTACATACTACTTGTTCTACTATTCCTACTTAGCGGTTTTTCACTTATCGTGGGGCTTCAGGGTACAGATCCCCACGATAAACAAGGAACTACTGTATCTTAATATTTTTTCTTGGAGATACTGTGTCTGAGATTGAAGTTGTTATTAGTACTAGCCTCACTTCTGATTCGTTAGTTTATCACACCAGTCAGAATGGAACTCTTTCTCTGAACCGTCTTTGTTCGAGGAGCTATGCACACCAGGTAGGATATTAAATGTTTGTTTTCTTTCCTTAAAACTCACTTCAAAATATCTGAGTTATAGCTTTAATAATGGTATATAACCCGTATTTGTAGTAACTCTACTAATCTGGGAGATCTAATAAATATGCAGTGAACAACATCATAAAGCAGAATTTTCCAACGTTTGACAAACTTTAAACATTTTGTGTCTGCACGGTTGTTACCCTGATGATGTGCTCTTGTGTCGTTTTACTTACGCAGACACAGATTGCTGCTGAACATGTGCAGGATGCGCTGACAGCCCTGCCAATCGTTCCCGCTGCCTTCACACGTGCACCACTGGGACACCTCGGTGCTGCTGTTACTCACATAGTTAGGAGTCATGATGGTTCCTGAAAAGCCAAAGTTTGAGAACATTTAAAATAATTTTCCTGCTCAGCTGAGAATACATTTTTCACCTTACACCTTTATTGAAGGTAAGAAACAATAATAAAAAATAAAAAAAGGATATTATATGGTCGGTGGTCTGGTGTCAGCAGTTTTCAAGCTCTCAATATTATTTATAATTGCAGGTCCACAAAATTGCTTTTTGGGTGCAGAGAAACAGAAGGAAACAAGGAAAATTGCCTTTTCTCTGAAAATGCAGTTGAAATGCTGAGAGCTGAATGACTTTAATGAAAGTTGACAAATAGGCTGAAACAAAATGTTAAAGCTAAAAGAAGTTGAACACTAACTGAAGGCTAAAAGAAGAAAAATGCTAGCTAAAATACAGCTGTCATTTTCTAACACGAACCAGAAGCCCGGCCCAACCCAGATTAGGGCCGGGTCATAATAATGTGCTTAATGTGCGGGCTGGGCCGGTGCCGGGCTTTTGATTGCGTCAGCGGATGCACGCAACTGACGATCCAATTATATGGCAACATGGCTTGCCATACTTTCACCAGCCGAACGCAACCATTTGATCGCGTGCTGACCGGCCTTGAAAGAGGTAAAAAAAAAAGTTCAGTTAAGCTTCAGATGGGACAGAAATAAGCGACCAGCATGAATGAAGCCAGTTGATATGAAATAGACGTTCATTCAGCCGCTGCACTCGGCGGAAACGCGCGGCCGACGACCCAAACAGCTCACAAAATATCCAACATGCCAGAGCAGGGTCCATGTCTGAATAATGCAGAATGCAGGCAGAAGCAGGGATTTAATGCGCTTTGACAGCCACGAAAGGACACACACACCCTCAGCTCGGATCTTTTGCCCCTTTTATTCAGCCATGCGCGTCCACCGACTGTTAATAACTATATACGCAGTCAAAGCTTAATAAAAAATGTCAGGTTTATTTCGTGTTCGGACCTGAAATTACTGGTAATTCGTCAGGTCAGGTGGGATTCGGAAATGATGGCTACAGGCTGGGCCGGGTCGGGTCAGATTTTTGGGGCCTGACTGCAACTCTAACTAAAAGCTGCAAAATTTTAGCTAGTAGCTAAAAGAAGCAAAATGTTAGCAAAATGTTAGCTTTGGGGACCAAGATGGGGCAGAGGTAGGGCAGCCGACCTGGGACCAAAAAGTCACGATTCAACTTCCAGCCATTCCCACATGTTTTGGTGTCTCTGAGCAAGAGACCTAATCCCCAATTGCTCCCCGGGCACTTACATAGCTGCCCACTGCTCCACCTGGGTGTATCTCAGGTGTGATGGGTTAAATGCAGAGAACTAAAGTCGCCATCGTATGGGAACATACAATGGTGGCAATCTCAGACTTCCCTTCCTCTCCCTTCCCTTCCCTAAAAAAAGCAAAATGCCAGCTAAAAGCTAAATGAGCCAATGCTTAACTATAGGCCAAAAAAAAAAGACCAGCTAAAAATATTGAAAAGGTAAATAGAAGCCAAAATTATCAAAAGATTAACTGAAAATTTTAAATGGGCAAAATTGTATATACAGGCTAGACTAGCTAAGAGCTTACAAAAGGCAAAAAAAAAAATAATTGCTAGCTAAAAGCAGCAGAATTTTTGCTAGTAGCTAAAAGAAGCAAAATGTTAGCTAAAAAAGCTAATGCTAGCTAAAAGCTAAATGAGCCCAAGCTTAACTATAGGCCAAAAAATGGAAGAAAGCCAGCTAAATATCAAAAGCTAGCTAGAAGCCAAAAATATCAAAAGATTAACTGAAAATTTAAAATGAGTAAAATGGTAGTTAAAGGCTAAACTAGCCAAGCGCTTACAAAAGGCTAAAAAAGAAAAAGGCTAGCTAAAAGTATCACAATGCTAATTCGAAGATAATAGTAGCAAAATTATACTAATAGCAAAAGGCAAGATACAATTTTAATGTAGCAAAAAAAAATTAAGTAGCAAAAAGTTAACAATAAGCTAAAAGTAGCAAAAGGCTAGCTAACAGCAGAACAGTAGCTAAAAATGTAAAGTAGCTAAACTGTAAGTAAAAGCTAAATGTAGCATAAATAGAAAAACCAGCAAGTATGGTAAAATGGATTAAAAGGATTTGAGAACATTTTAATATATTGTATTTCTGTGGGAACAATATTTCGTAAAAAGTTAAATATGTTGGGGGAAAATAAATCTAAACCTTTGCACCAATCTCCTGAATGAGCTGAATGCTTTTATACATGAATGGCTAAAATGCCACATTTAATGCACAAGTAGAGAGACTGCAAAAAATATACAGAAAAAAAAAACCTGGAAACAACAGCGTGCGTGCTGACATCGTTTAGACGGTGACATTACCTGCAGCTGCTCAGAGAGCTGCTGAAACCTGATTTTTATATCAAGTGAGCCGGATCCCAAAAGCAGCAGGCGACTGACCGTTTGTGAATATTTAGTGTAATAAAATAATAATCATAGGCTGGCTCTCGATGTTAGACAGCACCAATTAGGTCCTTGAAAGGCTGTGTGTCATTTTTAAAACTTCAAACAATTTTTTTAAATTTCATTTCTTTGTACTGGTTTATTATGGTTTCCTCCACCTCACCTATGAGTCCAGTATAAGCCTTCAGGCACATGGCTCGTCTCTCACGCACACAGCCGGAGGCAGAAACAGGCGAGGGCTGGCAGTTGTGTTGAAAATCAGCAAACCGAGATCTGAAACAAGCACACACACACAAATATGTATGTTCTTAATGTTGTTACTCTTTTTATGATCGTGAGGCCCAAACCAAAGTCCAAACCATGGATCAATGATGTCACTCGATCTGCCAGAGAAGAATTAAGGATGGTTGTTTGCAAATGGAAAAAAAAATCATCTGCAAGTGTCTTTTGTTATGTTAACAGAGAGTCTCAGAATATTGTTAAAACTGAAAAAAAGAACATTTTTTCTAACGTTATTATGAATCATTCTCACAATCCTCATGTTCTTTTTTCCACCATCTACATGTCAATAACTCCTCTGTAACTTGTGAAAAGTTCCTGCAGTTATTTACTAAAATGATCTAAAACCTCAGATCCCTGATCCCTCAGCCTTCGTGTGGATCTTCCACCTCCATCACAAGTTGTGCCGTCTTGCATAAGTTTGAGCCTGAAACTTTCAACCAGCTGGAGAAAACAGCTAACATGAAGACATCCTCCTGTCCAAATCATATTATTCCAACTTGTTTTTTAAAGAAAGTTTTCAAATCCAAGTCAATTTATTTATATAGCGTCAGACAACAGAAGTTTTCTCAGGGCACAGCACAGAAACATTCACATACAAATAAAAGCCAATTAGTAAAGGTTATCTATTTAAGGAAGCCCGCGGATTGAGTTGAACCTTCACTTCGTCAGTCTCCCATCACATGTGAAAATGTGTTGCTTCTGACATATTGGGGATTTTTAGAAGCAGTCTCAGTTCAGGTGTTGTTCCAGCCTGTTTTAAACATTCAGCTGTAACCGCTTATGAAGAAACCTAATATGGATGGATGTGCTAATATGCTAATATGGACTCATCTGTTTTGGTTTTTTGTTTGTTTGTTTGTTTTTAGGCCAGTTTCAAAACTTCATTTTTTAAATCAAAGATTTTAGAAAGGATAATTTCCATGCAGCTGATGTCTTTTTTCTTTTAAATATTCACAGCATTCATGAAATGTTTCAGTCTGGTTTGAAAGCTCTGCACAGCACAGAAACTGCATCTTTAAAATCTAAAAAAGTTAAATCTGGTCCTCTGGACATTAAAATACTACTAATAATAATGATAATAATAATAATTGTAGAAACGTTTTGTCTTTCATCTGAAAGACTTCCTCAGTCTGAGGTGCTGTATTCAGCTCAGTCTTATAAATAGCACCTTGGATCAACCAGTTTGCTGCTGACAACCAAAACCAGCTGCTCACATGTTCAAGAAGAACCATCAGCCTAACAATGGATCATTAGCACCTGATGGCTGTTTACTATTCACAGGGGGTTGAGCGATACTAGCAATAACAGCATTGTAAGAGGGGGACAGTTGAACCCGGAGGCCTCCACCCCTGTTTAATGATGGACGATTTCTTTTCACAAAGATGGCCTCCTTTACTCCGCTCTCAAACCATCGTTCCTCTCTATCAAGGATGTGAACATCTTCATCCCTGAAAGAGTGACCGCTGGCCTGGAGATGAAATTACCTTAGTGATCTACCTGGATTATTGAGCATGCATCAGGATGCACCTTTAAAAGTTTTTAATGATCTTTTATTAGCTACAGATTCAGGAGACTCTGCTGTTCTTTTGTTTTTTGATCTGTCCCCTGCCTTTGATGCTGTTGACCACAGGATTCTGATCTGCAGGCAGGGACAATGTGGTATTGTGGTAATGTGGCTCTGCACTAAACTGGTTCGGGTCTTACCTGTGTGACATGAGTTTCTGTATAAGCCTTGGGAAATCTGTTTCCTCCTCTGCCTCCCTCACATGTGGAGTTCCCCAAGGTTCTATTCTTGGACCCATGCTATTATCCATTTAAATGCTCTATTTAGGCTCCATTTTTAGGAAATTCAACATTTCTATTCAGTCTTATGCAGATGACACTCAGGTTTATGTTCAGTTTAAGTGCAATCACTGTATTTTAATGAAATCCCTGTTTGACTGCATTTTGAAGTAAAAGCTTGGATAGCTTCAAACCCCCTAAATTTCAATGAGGATAAAACTCAAGTCATCATTTTTGGTCCCAGTGAAAACCAAAGTGCTTCGCCTACAGATTCAGCTAACTTTGAGCCATTTATAAAACCTCAAGTAACAAAATTGGGAGATATTGATTCACATTTTTACTTTGTGAAACAGATTAGCTCTGTTGTAAAAAGATTCCTTTTTAAACTGAGGCTTTTATCTAAAGTAAAATGATTTTTAACCTTTAAAGACTTTGAAAAGTTGATTCATGCTTTTATTACTAACTCAACTACAGCAACTCTCTGTATGTTGTTAGCCAGTCCAACCTTTCATGTCTGCATGAATGTATCTCTCTGGTGCTGATTCCCTTCATTGGCTCCCTGTTCGTTTTAAGACTGATTTAAAAGTTTTATTGTTGACCTATAAGGCCCTAAATGGACAGGCTCCTCTAGCCCTATGTGCCTTCTAGATCCCTCACATCTAATGATCATTTGCTTTTGGTTGTCCTATGGTCCAAGTTGGTCCACAGAAGTGATTTGGGCCTTTTCAGTAGCTCCTAAACTGTGGAACCAGCTGCCTCTGTCATATCAGATGGGTTTCATTGGGGTTTTAAGTCTCATCTTAAAGCACATTTGTACTCACTGGCTTTTAATACGGCATGATAGTGATTTATTTACTTATTTCTTCACTGTCTCTTTTTTGGTTTTTATTGGTGGGTTTTTTTTCCTTCTAAGTTTTTATGGTCTGTTTTGGTTTTGTCTTCTCGTTATTTGTATTATGTGCAACACTTTGGCAACAACAGTTGTTTTTCAACGTGCTTCATGAATAAATTTGACTTGATTTGAAATATGCACAGAGGAAGAAAATGTTCTTCATCTGAGCGCAAAGAAGATTGAGTGCATTTTAAATTGTTTTAGATGTCTCATTTAAGGAGTTCGCAGATGTGAAAGCAAAATAAACTAGAAACATGTAACACACCAATGTCGCCATCATTGAGGGATTTGAGTAGTGGATGTTTTTAGTTTTAGAGATGAGTGTTTTTCTGGACTGGAATTGAACAGATAATGCCAGTAAACCTTAATAGGCAAGATATTCAAGTGAGTATAAGTTACACTGTGGAGAAGAACAGAGGTTTTTTTTTTTTTTGCTTGTCCTAAATGAGGGAGCAGTTTTATCCATGACCAGGTGCAATGGTGGAGCCAGGGGGTGGCCAATGGTGGCCTTGACCTCCATAGATTAACCTTCAGCCACCCCAATGATCGAGCTTCTCACCCTATCTCTAAGGGAGAGCCCAGACACCCTGCGGAGAAAACTCCTTTCGGCTGCTTGTATCCGAGATCTCGTTCTTTCGGTCACAACCCAAAGCTCATGACCATAGATGGGGGTGGGAACGTAGATCGATCAGTAAATTGAGAGCTTCACCTTTTGACTCAGCTCTCTCTTCACCACAACAGACCTGTACAGCGCCCGCTTCACTGCAGATGCTGCACCTATCCGCCTATTGATCTTGCGTTCCATTTTTCCCTCATTCGTGAACAAGACCCAAAGATACTCGAACTCCTCCACTTGAGGCAGGACCTCCTCCCTGACCCAGAGAGGGCACTCTACCCTTTTCCGGCTCAAGACCATGGCCTCGGATTTGGAGGAACTGATCTTCATCCCGGCCGCGTCGCACTCGGCTGCGAACCGCTCCAGTGAAAGCTGTAGATCATGATCTGATGAAGCCAATAAGACCACATGATCTGCAAAAAGCAGAGACGCGATCCTAAGGCCACCAAAACGGATCCCCTCAACACCTTGGCTGCGCCTAGAAATTCTGTCCATAAAAGTTATGAACAGAATCTGTGACAAAGGGCAACCTTGGCGGAGTCCAACTCTCACCGGGAACAAGCCCGACTTACTGCCGGCAATGCGGACCAGGCTCTGACACCGGTCATACAGGGACCTAACAGCCCATATCAAAGGGCCCGGTACCCCATACTCCCAGAGTACCCCCCACAGGGTTCCCCGAGGGATGCGGTCGAACGCCTTCTCCAAGTCCACAAAGCACATGTAGACCGGTTGGGCAAACTCCCACACACCCTCCAGGACCCTGCTGAGAGTGTAGAGCTGGTCCAGTGTTCCACGACCAGGACAAAAACCGCACTGCTTCTCCTGAATCCGAGGTTCGACTATCCGACGGACCTTCCTCTCCAGAACCCCCGAATAGACCTTACCAGGGAGGCTTAAGAGCGTGATCCCCCTGTAGTTGGAACACACTCTACGGCCCCCCTTTTTGAATAGGGGGACCACCACCCCGGTCTGCCAATCATGGGGAACTTCCCCCGATGCCCACGCAATATGGCAGAGTCGCGTAAACCAACAAAACCCTACAACATCCAGAGCCTTAAGGAACTCCGGGCGAATCACTATACCCCAATCACTATACTAAACTTTTTTTTTTTAACTAGAAAGCAAAATTTCCTCAAATGATAGGGCTGGTCAGTTTACATATATACATATATGGTGGCAGCCATCTTGGATTTTGACTTGGCAACCCAATTTTTGATAGTGACATGTCCTAAAACAAAATACAGTCACACACCAAAATGAAAGCTAGCACAATGCTTGTTATTCAAGTTATCCAGCTCACAAGATTAACATATACACATATATGGCGGCAGCCTTCTTGGGTTTTGATGGGTCAACCCAATTTTCGAGAGCAACTTTTCTTATGTAGATGAAGCCGCACACTCAAATGGAAGTCTGTAACTCACTTATTTTTCAAGTTATCCTGCTCACAACATGCACAGACAAACAGACGGATGGACAAATGTTATTTCCAATTCTTCCTTTTCCGCTTTGCGATCAGAGCCAAAAAGAGCTGTGTGTTCATGAAAACCACAGATTTAGAAATTCTTCATTTTTAGCTTTCAAACATCAACCACCTTGCAAAAAACCAGGTCGCAACATACATCTGTGATGGTTTTCTTTTATTTTCAGTTTAAATCATAAGAAAACTGCAGAAATACTGTCCAGCTTTGCCAGAAACAGCAAATATTTGTAATTTGTACAAGTAGTTGACATTAGTAGAAACAAATATAAAGCTTTGTGCGCTCTGACTATTATTATCAAAAAGCAACCTGCTGCCGTTTGGAGATTGTTAATGAGCTTGGCACACCAACTGAAGAGCCCACCTGCTACTAGAATGATTAAAATGGATGTCAACAGCTTTGGAGTCCACTGAGTCATTATTTATAACGCTGTCATTTTATTTCCAAATGAGGATATTAATCATACTAAAGTAAAAATTGTATTTTACGCAGATTAAATTCACTGAACTCCAAAATTACTCAATCTGACTTTACTTTAGTTTTTTAAATACAGAGTGTTTTACCTGATTTTATCAATAATTAAAAGCAAATCTGAGCCTTGATTTACATCTGAAGACGTGTCTGTGACGGGCGTTTCTCTTCCGCCCCCCACACCGTTTATTAGAAACAAATGGCTGCCATGAAAAATAAAATGATTTTTTAAATTTAAATCTGTTGTTGACATGCAGCGTCACCATCTCAGTTTCAAATGACTCTGCAGAAAATGTCTGTCTTACCATCATCTGTACATTTGAGCTCGTTTTGTGTTTTGAGCAGAGTATAATTGAAGAATTTGCCTCTGTAAAAATGAGCTATAATCAGACCAATATTCATTCCTTCAAAGAATGCTAGACCTTTATTTCTCCAACGTTTGTGGTGATTCATAAATAAAATCATTTTAAAGGCAGTTTCACACAACCTGTTTTCATGTGACGTTGTGTATTAATCAGCCTCAGACAAGAAAAACTGATTAAATCCATGGTTTTGAGCGCTAGAAATAGATGTTGGCTTTATTTCCCTGTGTTGTGCTGTATGATAACAGAGGAAATAACTGGCTGGGATGAATAATAGTGCGTCGTGAGATGCCATTTTCTTTCCTGGAAAGGAAGCCATGCTGGCTTCAGAGTGAGGGGAGAGTTTATCTCAGCTGGACAAATTCAGTCCATGAACTGTATTGATGTTGTAGATGAGTCCTAGCTTGTGTATTGTATGTTTTGTACAAAACCTCTTGACGTTTTTCATATAAAAGGTGTTTAAAACACAACAGAAACACGGTCTTACCTACACAGCTCGTCTCTGGAGCAGTAGTTCTGCAGGCTGAGGCAGTTGGGCTTGCCCACTCTGTCCTCCCCTCTTGCACTCTCCTCATAGGAGCACGATGGCACGATGGTTTTCCTCCGCCGCTCCCCGCACAGCGTGTCCGAGCAGGGGCAGAAGAGCAGAGCGAAGCTGTACTCCTCGGGTACTCGCTCCAGGAAGCGCCGCAGGGCTTTGTGACATTTCTGGCGGTTGCAGCCGTTGTCGGTGGCCGTCGCCCTCTTGGTGCACGCCACCACGTATTCGGACCGCAACGAGCCACATTTCTCGTAAAGGCCGCAGTCCTGAGCTGCTTTCAGACACTGGTTTTGACCATCCAAAGAAAGAGAGGAAGCTAAGGGGGGTTCAGGAGTACAACAGAGTATATCAGGGCCAAAAGTACATGAGCTCTGTTTTATTTTAGATCTGATCTGAAGAGCATACTCTACCTGCCATGATGGAGGCCATACGAGACATCTCTATGTTTCTCACCAGATTTAGCTTTAGTTCCTCATATGGGGACACCTCATACTCCTCATATGCTAAAAAAAGAGGAAAACAGTCAGGTCCAGGTGGATTAAAAGGAACTGGTCTGTGGGAGTTTTATCCTCCCAGCTGCAGATAGCTCTTAGAACGACCTCAGCTTGAGGAAACAGACCGAGTCTCAAATGTTCAACCCTTCTTTCACTACACCATAGACTAAATAGTGATAAGGAAAGCCCAGTGTTTTTTTGTTTTGGTTTGGTTTTTGCATTTTAACATTGTTGAATGCCGCAGCTCTTTATTATTATGTGCATGAAAAATTTACGCCAGCACAATACACTGGCTTTTTAGCTGCAGTGATAGGCAGCGTAACTTTGCTGGTTTCAGCTAAGAAAATATAATTAACAACATCTGTTTACATAACACTGAAATAAATTTAGACTCACACTTTGGTTTATTGTGTCTTTTACAAAAGCGCAGACTAGCTAAAACTGCTAAAACCTTTAATATACTAAAATTCTAAATTAATAACATCAGAAAGACATTTCTATGCAGAACTGTTTTTAAAGTTTGCATGCTTGTTATAACAGCCGCTGCACAGCATTATAGCAGCTGAACGATGACTTGGGACTTCATGATTCATAACAAATCTTTCAGATGTTTTGTATTTAGACAAACGTTTTATAAATTGTTTGAGGTCGTAGTAGTAGTAGTAGTAGTAATAGTAGTAGTAGAAGTAGTAGTAGTAATAGTAGTAGTAGTAGTAGTAGTATTAGTAGTAATAGTAGTAGTAGTAGTAGTAATAGTAGTAGTAGTAGTAATAGTAGTAGTAATAGTAGTAGTAGTAATAGTAGTAGTAATAGTAGTAGTAGTAGTAATAGTAGTAGTAGTAGTAGTAGTAGTAGTAGTAGTAGTAGTAGTAGTAGTAGTAGTAGTAGTAGTAGCAATAGAAATAGTAGTAGTAGTAATAGTAGTAGTAATAGTAGTAGTAGTAATAGTAATAGTAGTAGTAGTAATAGTAGTAGTAGTAATAGTAGTAGTAGTAATAGTAGTAGTAATAGTAGTAATAGAAATAGTAGTAGTAATAGTAGTAGTAATAGTAGTAGTAGTGGTAGTGGTAGTAGTAGTAGTAGTAGTAGTAATAGTAGTAGTATTGAAGTAGCAGTAGTAGTATTGAAGTTGTAGTAGTAGTAATCGTAGTAGTAGTATTAGTAGTAGTAGTATTAGTAGTAGTAGTAATAGTAGTAGTAGTAGTATAATAGTAGTATTGATTATACTGTATAAAGCCCCAGGTGGCATGGTGGCACAGTTGGTGGGGCTGTTGCCTCACAGCAAGAAGGTTGCCCGATCAAATCCCAGCCAGGGACCTTTCTGGGTGGAGTTTGCATGCGTGGGTGTTCTCCAGGTACTCTGGTTTCCTCCCACAGACCGAAAACATGCATGTTAGTCTGATTGGTAACTCTAAATTGCCCCTAGGTGTGAGTGAGAGAGTGAATAGTTGTTTGTCTCGTTTGTCTCTATGTGTCCCTGTTATGGACTGGAGATCTGTCCAGGGTGTCCCCTGCCTCTGGCAGAATGATGGCTGGACATGGGCATCAGTGATGTCTGCAACCCGAATAGGAAGCAGTAGGTAAAGATGATGGATGGATGGATGGATGGATGGATGGATGGATGGATGGATGGATCTAAAGCCCCACAGCTCAGAGCTAAAATGAGAAAACACTCTTTACAGCAAATATAAAACAAAATATGTATAAAGGCATTTACAGTTATCTCAAAAATCACAACAACGAGCTGCGGACGTGAGCATTAGCCTCGGTTAGCCTGCTGTGTCGGCTCGGGCTGCAGTGCATTGTGGTCCGTTTCCACCACTTCTCTCTCCAACTTCTGTAGACTACTTTTACTTCACTGCGTGGTGAGTTAGGGCACTAGATGGTACAAACCTGCAGTATAAATTTAAACAGTAAAACAAACTGAATGATTCACAGTATGGGACAGTATATGGTGAATGACTGGATAATTCAAACCCCGTCCAAGAGCTTATGAATGAAGAATTGATGAGCTAATTGCTAGTTCGTGAAAGCACAAAACCCATATGGATTTCTGACATCTCAATCGATGGTCCATGCTGTGCAGAGGCTTATCTTTCCAGGATGGCTCCTCTTGTTTCTTCTCTTCCATACTGGATTTCTGTTGCCTGAAATATTCACTAAGCAGTTCGTCACTGGAGGCTTTCTTGTCAATGTGGTCAGAATTAAATATTTCTCCAAATGGAGGTCGTTCAAAGAGCTATCTGAAACAGGCAAGAGAGTATTTCTTGAAACTTTTCCACAGAAACCCACTTCAAAAGATATGAACTATCCTCTTAAGCAGTTGGAGAGTCACACACATGCTGACATTTTTATCCACCTGCAAATCTCACAGTCCAGTAAACCTTGAGGCAGTGTTCCTCCCTGCGAGAGCCACGCTGACATTTGCACACTTGGAGGGGACGATAATGCTGCAGCGCGTGCTGAGCCTCCAGGCACTCGAGGCGGGCGTCCGAGCCGAGGGGCGACACGGCCTCCTCCGCAGCGCAGTACTCCAGGAGTCGGTAGATGCCCATGCAGGACGGCTCCTGCGTGCAGCCCTGCTCTGCCAGCAGGCAGTCCAAGGATGCAGATACGGGCACGCTACCTGAAGGAGAGGGGGAGAATTATCAGCAGAGCAGGCTGCGATTCGTTACCTTCATCATACACGAATAACATATTAATCCTTAAGCTAAATAGGCTTTAATAGGACAGGAGAGAAAGGTGATTGCACTGTTGAGGTTGCGCTGCCATACTGGTTGCTTTGCTGGAAATGAAGCAGAGGAGCTGAACATCATGGACAAAACACACAAGAACACAGAACATGTGTTAGATTAGATTTAAACTAAATTCGTGATTATTTTCTCATCCTCTCAATAGGATGCCTAACTTTTTCAAACGTTCAGGATCCAGCTGTTAACGGTAAAGTCTCATTTTTCTTGTCCACGCAACAAGAATCGCACACAAACAGAGTGAAACTCGTCTATTGTGCCAAAGACAACAAGAGCAACTCAGTAACCTTAAGGGCCCTGCATCCTCCGTTTCTCTCACTGATGAAGTTATATGACAAAAACCACATCGTTTTGTTCTCAGAGTAGCTTCATTCATCTCTTCTCAACACAAGGGCCAGGACTTTTTCTCTCAGGGAGAATATGCAAAGTATTACGCGACTGGTCAGAAGTTTGTGGGCATGCTGGTTTCTGCGGAAAGGCACTCAGACAGCAATGTCGTCGTTTTGATTCAGCTACTCCACTTCCAGGAGTTGTTCGTGCAAGGAACAGCTTAGAGGAGCTGTTGGCCGAGGCCGTCAGAAAAGTGCAGCACTCTTTGTGACAGATTTGTGGCTTAACCGTGGATGCAGATGCAGACACGGAGTGAAGACCCCGGCAGGAACAAAATCCAACACCGGGACGTATACTGTGCAGGGGTGTCAAACTCACTTACAAAAGGGGGCCAAAATAAAAACTCTTTTTCAAACTAACTCAACATCTTTTCGTGGTCACAAGTTCCTCAACAAGAGTTTGATTGGTCTCATTTGATGTTCTCTGTTGTGCTTTCAACATCATAATCAAAGATTACTGAAATAAATTAAGTTAGGAAACATTTGCAACACATACTGTGAGCATCATCACGTCACATAAAACATTATTTTTCAAATGTGACCAAAACAGCTACAATAACTCAGCTGTTCTTATAGTTTGACAAGGATTTGGCAATCATTGCTGTAATTTTTAACTTTGTTTCCTCAGCTATAGTATTCAGAGTCAGAGTCAGAGTTTCTTTATTGTCATTCGCACCTCATGTGGTACATGTGGTGGAGCGAAATTATGTACACAGGGTCCCAGTTACATCCAACAATAAAATGTATAAGAAAAACAGTAATAACATCTAAGATATGAACTAAGAAAAACATCAACTAAATATACACTAAGCACTCATAACATAAAACATTGAACATCAGCACAAACATGAACATGAGTCTGTGAGCAGATGTGCACGCATGAACACATCAACATTGAAACAGATCAGCAGCAACATGAAACAGATCAGCAGCAACATGATATGGTTTTTCACAGTGATTATTCTAGTTAGAGATTCATGAGTCTAACAGCCTCAGGGTAGAAGCTGTTCCTCAGTCTAGTGGTTCTACACTTAATGCTCCTTAACCTCCTTCCTGAGGGGAGTGGGGCAAAAAGTGTGTGTGCTGGGTGGGTGGGGTCCTTCATGATGCAGGTGGCCCTCTTCCTGCATCTGGAGGTGTAGATGTCTGTGATGGTGGGGAGACTGATTCCAACAGAATTAAATCGGTTTTGTAACAGTATTAAAAACAGATGCTAGTTTGTAAAGTCAAACTACACCGCTGTAGAACCAGAAGAATTCAGTAGTACAGTAGTCCCTCGCTACTTCGCGGTTCGTTTGTCGCGGACTCGCTCTATCGCGTGTTTTCAAAATAAGATTGGACACACAATTGGCTGACTGATGGATGAGCTGCACGATGGGCATGGATTTTTTATTTAAAATAAATTATTTTAAATGACTTAGCACCTGCAGGCCAGAGCTGGAGAAAAAGCTTCCTCCTGCACCTTTTTGCAGCCCTTACTGCAGGATAAACTTCCTCCTGCAGCTGAACAGCTGATCAGCTGTTCAGCTGTGCAGAGCAGGAAAGTGGGCGTGGCCAAAAACGCTTGCAGGTGGCTGAGAGCAGCGGAGGCACAGAGAGGGAAATCATGACATTCTGTGCTCTTTTAAAGCGTTTAGAGTTTAGAAACATTGTTTAGAATATTGCAAGAGTGTGGGAAGGGTTTTAAACTCCTTTTATATATATATAGTATATTTATAAATATATATATATATATATATATATAATCTAAAATAAACCACTAACTACTTGTACTATCGCTACCTCATGGTTTTTCACTTATCGCGGGGCTTCAGTGTCAGATCTACCTCAATAAACGAGGAACTAAAAGTACTGTATATTTTTATGAGTCATACTATGGCTTCCTTTACAATGATGATTCAACCTCCTTTTATAAATCCCTGTTGCTGACATCCTTCCAAAACATATTTTTCACAGACAACTTTTTATAGCTTTTATTATTATGATGGAAAACCCGATGTTCTTGTTATGTTAAAAAGCTTTTTAGAGGTAGCGGCTCAAAAACATCACATTCACGTGCCTGGCATGAATCTTGCTAAATAAACAACTAGACACAAAAAAAATAAAAATCCTGGTTATGGTAGCAAAAAATATTTTGTTCAACTGCCAGCTCTCAAGGATCGGCTGTTCTGCTAATCTACAAAAACCTGAACCAAAGCAGAGTTACTGAAAGGCAGTTCCTTCATCAACAACATAATAAAACACTGAAGTGCCATTATAAATGATTAGACTCCAAATGGAGAGAAAATGTGATAAAAGAAAAAAAGTGATTAAGGTGTTTTTATATGTTTTTATATGCGTGCTCTTCGGACACAGGGACTCATCTACTGGACAAAAGACTGCTGTTAATGTAGTTACAGACACAAGGAGTTAGAGACTAAACCTTTTGTAGCAGAGTCTCATCTATTTGGACTGAGCCTTTCAGCGGTGTCAGACACCGTCTCACCATGCAACACAACAAAACCGATTTATTTAACACATTTCAGCATCTCCCAGTGAGACAGCCATTACTTTGGCTTTCAAATGCCACTTACATACAGAAAGTTCATCTGGGCGACAGTGACATGCCCACTACTTTTTTTTTTTTAATTTACCTAAAAGCACATGCTACTCCTACACTGAAATCACTGCACTGTATTATCTGAGTAATTAAGAGTTTACGTCTACAAATGATTAACTTTTGGAGGGAACAAGATCTAAGATGGCTGCCAACACCAACCCAACACCAAAAAGCAAAACCAACAGGAACAACCCATCTGAACACAGAACCTGACAAAGTCCACCCGTTTCTGCCCCAATATTACCCAGCATGCCCTGCAGCTCCTCTTGTGTTAAAGTACATGTAATGTCAATAATTCACACTGGAATTTAATAATAACCCAGCGAATTTAATGCTTCTGTAAAGTTTTATCATGTAACGAAACCAAAATACATCTTTAATATTGAAAATTATTCATGTGAACCTTAATGGGATATTTGACCTTCATTTTTTAAAAGCAACTACAATTTCAGTGTGAATGTTTGAATATACATGTTGCAAATAAATGCATCACAAATCTTCAAGTGGTCGTAAAAAAATGCCCACAGGGCCTTCCTGAAGGCTCAAATCCATGTTTTGGCCCCTCCCACTCTACAGCATCACTGTAATCTTGTTTTTGATTCGGTTATTGCACAAACTCATCCTGCAGAGCCCCTGACTGAGTTGAGCCTTCTCTCCTGACAGTGAAGTCCTAACCAATGACAAACAACTTTCAAACATGTTTTTGCACGGAGAGACAAATTTAAAATAAGCTTTTTGGTTAACTGTATTTTCATGGATACAAAAGTCTTCAACTGCAAAATAGTTATATATATATTAAAAATGTTAAAGTAACTTTTCATATGTATAGAATTCTTAGGCCTTCCATGAAGATGTAGAAGGCCCTGTGGGTTCCCCACTGCTAAAACTAAAACTAATCACCAGCACATATACTGAGCACTAACAGACTGTTACTTATTGCACAAAATCTTTGCCTAAAACTCAACTATTGTATTTTTTTTGTTAGCTAAATAATTAATCGCTACATCATGGATTTTAATGTAACAATCAACAAGTGATCAATGGGCGTACATCTGTAATGGAATAAACATTTGGAGTCAGTCCAGTTTAAGATATCTGCCTCAGCTAATCAAACTTAGCAACACAAAAATGTTTATAACTCAGTCAGTTTTACAGACACTGATCTTAAATTTTGCTGTGTCAGTCGGTGGGAGTCATCCCTAATACATACACAAAGCATATTGTGCTTAAGCTATTTTGCTGAAATAAAACAATGCATGCACAATACAGCACTATTATAAAAAGATCATTCCACGATTCCTAACAAATGCACAGAACAGGGTTTTGACTAACGTCCTGTTCGGAGGTACAGTCGTCTCGCTGTCCATCCTGATAACACATTAGGCTTGTTTTGATTGACAGTCTTCTAAGTAGAATGAGCGTAAGTGAAAAGCTACAAATCATTTCAGAATGATTGTTTCTGCACGAGGAGCACAAAACACAAAGGGCCCGAGGCAGCCTGAGGGAGAGGATGGAGGGGGAGAAAAAGGCTTGCTTCAAAGGAAAATACATTCTGATTAAGTGTTTCAGGAAATTAGTTTCTTTTTTAATATACTTGACACATAATTATCCTCATAAAATACACTTTATACACATCTGACTACAGGCTAATAAAGAAAATTGCTGGGGTAGGAATTAGGCACACACTTCTTCATCATTATCTTATTAATTTTATACTTTAACTGGTAAAATACGACAACAGATATGGGTCGGTAGACGCAAAATATGTTGCGTAGAAAAAAACAAAGTAATGAGCTTAATGGAGGCTGGTCAGTTGTCGCCTGCTATATGGTTAAAAGTGGACAATAATGTTTTTGCCTGTGTTTGTGTGTGTAGTTGTTAGCAAAAC